ATATATATATATATATATATATATATATATATATATATATATATATATATATATATATATATTAGAACAAGTCATTTTTGTATTACATATAACATTTATATATTATAAAACATAAAAGCTATTTTGTGACACTGGAAACAACACACTTTTCACATATAATAGTTTTCTCCCACACTATGGCATTCCCAGGCCCAGTTTTTTGCAACTCCTCTAGAGTTAAACAGTTGAGTATTACCATTTAATCCATTCAGCTGATCTCAAGGTCTAGCAGGTGCACTTTTAACTTAGCTTAGCATAGATCATTGGATCAGATTAGACTATTAGCATCCCACTCTAAAAGGACTAAAAAGTTTTTTGATAATTTTCCTATTTAAAGCTTGACTCCTCTGCAGTCACACTGTGTACTGAGACTGACAGAAATGGAAACGTTGCTAATTTTAGGCCGATATGGCTCAAAACTATATTCTCATTCTAGCATAATAATCAAAGGACTTGCAGCAAAGCACTAAAGTTCCTTGACTACTACCCCAGAATAAGAGTAGCATATTGTTCATATTTAAATTCACTTTAAATAGGAAATTAACTAAATTATTTTTGAGGGGGGTGCTAATGGTCTAATCTGATTCACTTATTGATGCTAAGCTAAGCTAAAAGTGCTACCTGAAGCAGAGATCAGATTAATGGATTCATAAAATGGGAAACCTATTAACAAAAAAAGTGGAGTGTACCTTTAAAAAAGCTCTGTACTCAACTAGACTTAAACAGTTGAGTTTTAACATTTTTAATCCATTCAGCTGATCTACAGTTTTAGCACGTGCACTTTTAGCTTAGCATATATCATTGAACCAGATTAGACCGTTAGCCTCCCTCTCAAAAATAAATGAACAAAAGGTTTTTTGATAATTTTCCTGTTTAAAGCTGGACTCTTCTGTAGTTAAGTTGTGTACCACGAGTGAAGGAAAATCAAAAATTACTATTTCTAGGTTAGGTTAGGCTAGAAAATATCCTATTATTCAGTGTATAATTAAGAGACGTTGTTGCCGTACCATCGCTACAGAAGTCCCCAGCTGCGTTATATTGCACCTGCTGCAGCAGCAAAGGTTTTATTACCCCAGAATTAGAGTAATCTATTGTTCGTATTTAAATTCATTTAAATGAATTTAAATGAATTTTTCACACAGAAACGCCAACTGAGCGCGACCCAGCGACCTTCTTGCTGTGAGGCGACAGCACTACCTACTAAACCACTGTTTTAAGCTTTAAAAAGGAAAATTATTAAAACTACTTCTTATTTTTTTTAGGGAGATGCTAATGTATGTTTAAATGTTTAAAGCTAAGCTAAAAGTGCTAACAAAAGCAGAGATCATATTAATGGATTCATAAAATGGTAAAACTAAACTCTCTAGGTGACTCATAAAATGAGCCTATTAACAAAAAAAGTAGAGTGTAAAAAAATCTCTATACTCATCTAGAGTTAAACCTGGCTACAACAGGTGAAATTATATTATACAGTGCCTGGAAGTAGTCCCCAGGCCCAGCTGCATAATATTGCACCTGCTGCAGCCGTGGTCCAGCGGGTTTTATTACCCCAGAATGAGAGTAGCATATAGTTCATTCATATTTAAATTCAAGCTTTAAATAGGAAAATTAGAGACACAAATTCTTGATTTTTTTAGGGAGATGCTAATGGTCTAATACGATTCAATTATTTATGCTAAGCTAAGCTAAAAGTGCTACCGTCAGAACCATTTCATGGATTCATAAAATGCTAAAACTCAAATGTTTGACCTAAGGTGACTTGGAAAACGAGCATATTAACAAAATAGGTGTATTGTTTCTTAAAGAAAACTCTGTACTAGTGTCATTCCTCACTACAAAATGACTTCTCAGGTCGACCGAACGACCCCTGGCTTACAAGAACCAGTTCAGTGACTCCCAAAGGAAGTGCCACAACATTGCACGCTGACGTCATCAGTGACTGCCACGAGGTGAGGTGCGGACCGCAGCACGGCTCTTTGGGCAAGTCCTCCGCCGAGCTGACACGTAGCCCAGCTTTAAAACACAAGTGTGCTACACTGACACAAACACGAGTATAAAACCCGCACAATATCCGAGGAGAACCAAGCTTGAGATATTTAAATGGGGAGACATACACCGCGTTCTGCTACCTAATAAATCCGCAAGCCATTCGACCGCATTCTTTCATTTCTGTAAATGTTTGAGCGCGCTAATAAATGTTGACAGCGCTCATCATAAACCCATCATGTGTTACCAGAGCAGGTCGCACCTTCTCACATCCGCATTTGAAGTTCGGAACATCAGTCAGTGTAACCTTCCGCCTGCGGTAGAAGTGCTGAGGCTGGGACCGCCGCCATTTTGAATGTCTGGTCCGTTCCTCCTTCCGTCGATTGAGAAGATTGCACTTGTTTTCTGGTATCATAACGGCTGGTGAGTGAGACATTATTTCAAGCAGTCAAACGACTTCTTTTATGAGCGATCAAGCCGCTTGGTTTTATTCGCGTTTGCTGGGTTTGACTGTGGGATGCAGGGGAAGTAAAGCGCACAGGCTAATGCTAACGCGGCTCTCGCTCTCGCGCGCGGCGGCGCTCTGCGCGTGCACCGGGGACGCTGTCATCCGCACGGCCGCTAACGGACGGTAAACTATCCCTCGCGTTGTATTTCCACCGGCGACGTGACGCTACCGGGTAGGCAATTCAAGTTGTACCTGTGGTTTATGACCGTTTAAGGTGGCTCAAATTAAAGATATGTGTTTAATCCTCCGCCAAATCGACGCTCAATTCGAGGCCTGACTTCACTCCAGTCAGTTAGCAGCAACGGACACACGCAGCAGTTCATTCACCGACGTTACGAAGGAATAACAGAGGTATTCAATACACATTTAAGATCTTAATATCGAGAATAATTACTCGTGATATGTGCCTGTTATTTGCCACAGCGTAACATTTCCTCCTCTCACTGTTTATCATTTAGCTTAGCGCTAATGGGTTGACGTTATAGCGCAAGGGGAAGGGTCCACAAACAAAACCCTTTACAATCTCTATGAATATAATGAGTTAACAGTCAGTGTTTTGATCTATTTTGATTAGACTCTGTAACTTTAATGGCAAAGGTCAGATATGTAAGGTGTAAGATGTCACTTGTTGTGTGCTCGTTTAGTCGCCCGGTGATTTCGAGAGAGCTGTTTAATCGCTCAGCATTGAATGTAAATGTTGTGATGTCTTTACACACTTTCGGTTTGTGATGGAAGTTTGAATGGTGCTGTTGGCATCTCTTCCTCGATTGTGGATTTAAGGTTACAGAAATAAAGGAAGTGAGCTTCTGTAAACGTGTCCTCCCAGTCCCTGCAGCAGTTTGCATGATTCCTGCCATACATTTGCATTCTCTTTCCAAAACAAGCTTCATAAGTTTTAAGACCTCAGTTAACAATTATTAACTTCCAAATAGTTGCTTTATTTATTTATACATACCCTATTGATTGTTAAACGAATAAGCCTATAAATATAAAACATCTTATACTTTATATCATTAAATGCGTGTTAAAATACAAGCTTAAAGATGCAGAGTGTGAGTTAAAATCATCCATCGATAATACTGATGTCCATTGTAGCTGTGTTTGCAGTTACTGCTTTGGGATTGACAACAGCATTTGCTTACAGGTGTGAGTCCTAAAATGATTTGTTAATTCAGCAGAATAAAGTGGCTGCTTTAATGCATGTCTGAATATCAGGGTCAAAGACTACACGTTTTCTTTTATAACAGTACATGTTTAATGTAATTTTTTACATTACTGTGTCCTGTTTTGGCCATAGATTGTTATTTTTTAAGTTAATCGTCCTTAATGATGTAACTGATTCTCTTAAACCTACCATTTCTTTTGATAAAATGCTAAATCATGCAGTTAATGGGTAATATTTTTTATGTTTTTATTGCACGCGTCCTGTAATCAGGGTTTTTGCAGGTTCTTAAAGTCTTAAAATGTCTTAAATCCCAAAATCAAAGTTTTAGCCCTTAAAAAGTCCTTAAATTTGCTGAAATATTGTGTAGTAGGTCTTAAATCTTTTGTAAACTGGTCTTAATTTTCCTTTGTTCATGTATAGCTTCCCAATCTGGCCAAAACCCATACAATCACCAACAATCCCTCTCAATAAAACTTTTAATTTTTTATTTAAAAAGATAATTTTTTACTCTATCATAATGATTTTATTATTTTTCTTTCAATAACATTTGTTTTAAAGTGCTCCATGTGTTTACTGCTGATGACATCGAGCTGAACAGATTGTTGTGCATAAATTTAGTGTATTATAGTTTTTAAAACTTTAAAAACATTTGTTCTTTTTTGTTTTAAAGAAAGTTTATGTTGGGAAAAAGTGTATAGATACAAGTAGAGCTTGCTTGTTCTAAAACATTATGCTTAGAAATATTTAAAATATTAAATGTTTTATTATTCATTACTGTATTATTAAATGTATTGAATTATAATAATTTTTTGATAGGGCAAATATTTTTTTCCCATAAGGGCCATTTTAAAAATTCTTTACCCTTTAGCGCTTTGAGTCTGAAATTTCATTCATAATGGTCTTAAAAATGTCTTAAAGTCTTAAGTTTAACTTGGTGAAACCTGCAGAAACCCTGTGTAATGTAAGTCTTTTTATTATTTATTTTTTACACCTAAATCATTTTATTCACATTACTTTAGAGGAATCCCACTTGTAAACCTTTTGGTTAGTTTGTTCTCCTACTGTTTATCTTCATATCTGTATTCAAAGCAGTAGTGTGCACACCGTAATCAAAAATGATGCCAGAGTAGCAGTATGTAAAGTTTGTTTGGCTATAATAGTAAGAGACTGCTTGTTGAAAAATTATTTTACTATAACTGGTTTAGTACATCATAGCCAGAACAGCATAATGAATTCAGTTACCCAAATTTTATTGTCAAAATGAAAAGATTTATGTCAGTTTTTTTTTTTTTGTATAATCACTAGTATGGATGCATGTTCAGTGCTGCCTATTAGGTCATTAAGGCAGCTGTTTCCATCCTAATGTGAAGCAAATCTTATCAAAGTTTGCAAAAAAGGAAATATCCAAAATGTGAATTAGGTACGTTTGCACCAAGTTACCTACAACCTAGTAACCCACAGTAAACAACCTATAATGGATTCTCATGATGGCAAAAGGTAGCTGTGTTTTCTTCGTAATGTAAAGTAAATCTTTTCAAAGTTGACCAAAAAAAATCTTAAATGCAAATTAGGATAATTTCCATCAAGTTATTGGTGTAGATGGCTGTATTACTGTAACCCACAGTAAACAACACAAACTTAATGGAATTACATGGTGGCGAAAGGTAGTTGTGTTTCCATTCTAACGTGAAGTAAATCTTATCAAAGTTTGCAAAAAAGGAAATATCCCAAATGTGAATTAGATGCGTTTCCATCAAGTTATTTGAGTGGATGAACGGTAAACAACCCACAATGGATTCACATGGTGGTGAAAGATAGCTGTGTTTTCTTCCTAATGTGAAGTAAATCTTTTTAAAGTTTACAAAAAAAATCTCAAATGCAAATTAGGATCTTTTTTAGTAAGTTATTAGTGGATGGCTGTAGTAGTGGTAATCTAGTAACCAGCAGTAAACAACCCAAACATAATGGAGGTTTGTGGTGGCGAAAGGCAGTTGTGTTTCCATCTTAACGTGAAGTAAATCTTTTCAAAGTTTGCAAAAATAAAACCTCAATTATGAATTAGATGCGTTTCCATCAAGTGATTAGAGTGGATGACTGTAGTATTGGTAAACTAGTAACCAACAGTAAACAAGCCAAACATAATGGATTCACGTGGTGGCAAAAGGTAGCTGTGTTTCCATCCTAACGTGAAGTAAATCTTTTCAAAGTTTGCAAAAAAAATCTCTAATGTAAATTAGATGCGTTTTCATCAAGTGATTAGAGTGGATGGCTGTAGTATTGGTAACCTAGTAACCAACAGTAAACAAGCCAAGCATAATGGATTTACATGGTGGCGAAAGGTAGCTGTGTTTCCGTCCTAACAAGAAGCTAATCTTTTTAAAGTTTGCAAAAAAAAGTGTAAATATCCCAAATACAAATCAGAAGCATTTCCATCAAGTTATTAGAGTGGATGACTGTAGTATTGGTAACCTAGTAACCAACAGTAAACGATGCAGGCATAATGAAGTCATGTAGTTGTAATCTTCACTACATCAGAATTTATTCTGCAAATCTGTTTCCATATCTTCAGTGTTCACATTAAGCTCTTTTTTTTGCAAGTTTGCAGCCACATCAAGTGAACGTAAAATCTTTTTTTGTGAGTTAAGGGATTTTTATTCTATGTTAGGCATTTCCGTCACAAGTTTCGCATGTGATGCTTCAAAATGCATGTTAACACAATTTGATGAAAACCCAGCTACTGACTAGTGGGGTGAGGAAGTTCTAGTCATAGCATTGACTTTAAGAAATTATTTAATTTGGACTGTTGTTCTTTAGTTTATCTCTTTGCTCGGGTTGCGTCGTTTTTGTGCTCTTCACTTGGTTGCTAAGCGCAGCTTTCATGTGATCAGATGTGACTCTCTGGAGGCGGGTTTGAGATAAAACCAAGCTGTGTGTCGACACTGAGATCATGGTGTTTTCTCAGGCTACCTGAATGAAGCTCTCTTGGGGTCCGTTCTTCGTACGTGGATTACTCAGTTAGCTGGATTTGGATATTGACGATTTGACACGATCCAGGATCGTTTCGTTCTTCAAAGCTGATCCGAGAGTTGTTGTCATGGCAACAGTTCTGCTAGGTCAAACCTGATCGGGAGCAGGTTCAAATCATATAAACAGGATTAGATCGGCTCAGTTCAAGCAAAGATAATACAGAAAGTATGTACCGAGTTCTGATATTTTCTTACAGTAAAAGTTATATACACTTGGGAAAATGGTACATATTTTTTAACTATATATTTAAAGTTATAGTCATTAATAAAATAAATAAAGTTTTACATATTAATAAAACGTATGCAATCTGCACCCTCGAAATGAAAGTACAAAGACTGCCACCTGGTGGTGCAAAGAGAAAACTTATTGATATGAACTTTTTAGATCGCTTTAGTACAAATTGTGTATAATAGAAATGCACAATATGTGACTTTTTTTAAAAAGCAATAATACATTTATGCAGTCATAAACATGTTTTGACAGTTAATATGCCAGTGATTTGATGCTTCACAAAAGTTGCAGATGCCTTTACCAATATCAAAATGCTTTTGGAAACAACCAGTTATTCTTTACACCGATTAAAAAACAGCTACTATAATAAAGAAAATCTTTTCTAAATGTAGAACTAAATACATTGATTTGCATTGAAATACATGATGAATACTCTTGTCTTGACAAATGAAAGTGTAAAGCCTGCAGCTCACAACAAATGTGAAGTTACTGCGTGTCTTATTTAACAAGCCGTTTACTGCTAATTTGATGTAATTTTGCTCACATGGATAATTGAATATTAATCAGATGATGTCATTACGCTGCTGTGCCGTCAGCCAATCGTTGCATTGCTGATCATGATTTCGAGGATCGATAGATCTGTCCTTAACAACAAACGCAGCGATCTCAGATCAGTTCATCCAGACATTCTAATCTGATTCGCGAACTTGTTTGAAGAACCAAATAAGCGAGAGATCAGTTATCAAGATTAAAAGATCCAGGATCTGCCAAATCATCTTAGATCATTTAAGCGAGGTACGAAGAACGGACCCCTGGGCTACTATTTGAAGTAATTACGTTTGTGTCCATAGTCAACCTGACACCACATATTGCTGAGCTACACCTTTAGTAAGTGGATTTTCAATTACTGGCTCAAATCATGTATAAT